ACTAGATCATTAACTAAAATTAAATTAAACTAAGATTGTACCATTATAACTTATTTACATTTAGATGATGATTCTTACCTTGAAAATCCTTGACATAAAAATGATACTAAAACAGAAGGATGATACATAGCATCCTAATTTTAGTTAATGATCTAGTTTTAAATTCAGGATGATTTAAAATTTGTAAACATTTAATAAATTGCCTTTTAATCTTTTTTGGGTGCCCCATTTCATAAGAAATATTACTTTTCCAAAGCTTGTAGTCATATATTGTCTTTTCTTCATATAATTTAGTTTGAAACTAATGAAAATATCAAAGGAAAATGTTTATAGACATTCACGTGTTTATTTCTGAGGCATGTATGTTTCTCTTAATGCCTGGAACTTGTTTTAAAACAAAAAGCAGTATTCACAACATAAACTTATAGAGAATTCTAACATGTCAGAAATATGTTTAGGATTTTGCTTTTAAGTGTTGCTCTTTTCCATAGGGCATTTCAGAATGTAGAATAATCACCCAGGGTGTTTGTTTACCATGTTTTTTACTGAGCCTACATTAGAATTATTTTGGGTTTTTGAACCTCATTTTGAGAAACACTTTCTTCAAGATATTCTTTTGTCCTCCACTTAAATAGTAGGAAGTATGTTCATGGTATAATATTTTAAGATGTTACAAGCAGAAATTTATAACTTTGTGAACATTTTTGAACAAATTTTACATGAATGACTTCATTAGATACCTTCCTTGTTCCCCTCAGCAAAATCTTATCAGTTTTCTGCCAATGATATCCAAATGATGAGCATTTTTCTTTGTTGAGGTTTTCATCATTATTCAGGGTGGTCTTTTGCTTTTCAATTTTTTAAGTAGTAAGATTAACTGTATATTTTATAGAGAACTGCATTACAAATATGTTTTCAACTATTTTTGTAGTATTTCCCCGACCTTGCAGGTCAGTAGGACTACATGACAGCCTCTGGCCAAGAAATGCGAGCAAAAGTAGTTTGGGTCATGTTCACCCTGAAGCCATGAAAAGCCTCTGTATAGAACTTTGGCTTCTCTTTTTCTTCTTCCAAGAATATCAGTCTTCTATGGAGTTGATAGATCAGCAAGATAAAAGCAGTCTGAATCGCTGAGTCATTGCACGGAGGACAACTGCTCTGGACAGTTTTCTGGACCCACAGAGTATTTGTAGACTTTTTTCTTTTTTGCATTAAGCCACTAGAAAAAAATAACAAGAAATGAACAACTTTCTAAAGTTTTCTTTTGCATAAAGCACTTTCCATATCTTCAGAATTTCTTAAACACAAAAAGAAAAAAACTTAGAATATAATAATTGTTTTAGAAATCTATTTTTTATTTTTACTATGTCAGCAAGCATTAGGCCATCTTTAGTTCTGACCATTTTCATGAGTGCAGCTACAATAACAGGGCCAACCTGCACAATCTCACTCTGTAGTTGTAGAGCAACACAGTACTAAAAAGCAAAGTCCCTAATGTGATGAAAATCTTGGCAATTCACAATCAGTTTGAAATGTTGTGGGCCCACTGCCAGAAAACATTCTTACACTGGGTCTTTTTTCAGCACCCTTAATTAACCAGCTGGAATTCCTTTTTAAGTGCCAACATACTCAGTCTTTCAGAACATAGACTTTTTCTTTTAATGGGAGATCTGTCTCTCATCATAAAGATGGAACAATGCATTCTTGACTTCTCCCAAAAACCAGATTTTTTTGATACAATAAGCTCTGAGGAGGGTAAAGACAGATCCCAGACCACTTGTTTCAGTCAGGATATATGGATGCTGTACAGAGACCAAAGTAGACTGTTGAAGCATTGGCTGTCACTGAACAAAACCTCCACAGTAATGCTCAGGCCTGCCTCATGCAGAATAAGTCAAAAAGAAAGAGCTGCTGGAAATGAATAATCAAACTAAAATCTAGTGATAAAGAAGAACTCCATGCTAAAAGAGCAGAAGATTTGGTACAATGTTTCAAACACATATTCTTCAGTGTTTCTCAAATTCTTGTTGGAGAAACTGGAATACACTACTAAAGATCATCTTAATTCTAAAAAACATAAAATCAAAAGACAAGCCAGAAGTATAGTAATATAAAGCTGTCATTATAAAAAATATTAAGTGATGTCAGTGAGGTGGTTCATTTATGTATCAAAAAATATTGCACATCTATCATATGCCAAGCTCTGCAATTACCTAATTTATGCAGTAGATGATATTTTTAAATGTCAGTATTTTGTCCTGCATGCAGTTTCCCTTTTCCCAGTGTAGCAAAGTGGGAAATCCTGTAGAACATGGGCTCCAGAGCCATACTGCTTTTGGTTCTTTCCACAGCCTCACCCTTACCAGCCATGCAACCTCATGTTACTTCTTCTCTTTGTGCTTGAATATCCTCACCTGTAAATTGGGAATGATAGTGATGACTAATCTGTTAAGACATGGAAAGCACATAGAGTAGTAGCTACAAGATAACAAAGGCTCAATTTCCCAAGTATGATGGGCTATTATTATTTTCTTACCCCCAATTTCAAACTGGTAACTCCTCTTCATCTTGGAGGAAGTATATAACAGAGAATGCTTATGGAAGTATTACCAAAAAAATTACTCTGAGAGCCCAGGAGATTGATAGCTCAGCATACCAGTGGGGAGGCTCTGAGAACATACCTGGCCAGAGGATCTGAACCCCATTCAAAAGCTGCTTTCTACCAGGGACCTATGCTTGATGAGTCTGGAA